ACCCGTGATCGATTGGACATGATCGTGTCGCTTGATTTTCTCATGAAGTTGCAATACCAAGGCGACCAGAATATGAACGTGTTCAAGCAGACATGGCAGGAAATCATTGATCGAATGCCAGAAGACGTTCCGTCTGACACCGCATTGAGAGATACACTCTATTCGAAGATCAAGGATTCACCGGCGTTAAAGCAGGAGCTTTGCGTGCACTATGACATGCTGAATTATGATGATCCGGAACGTTCCTACCAGAACTCCAGATCATGGACAATTGTATTCGGAGGGACCGGGAGAACAAGAACCAACAACAAATCAGTTCTGGTCTCAACTTGATGGTGGCCGGCAAAGAGCCGATGTCTGCTCTGCCGGCGAAAGTCAAAGGTGGTGGGAAAGGTAATGGCACACCATCCGACAAGAAGGGCAACAAAACGGACAACGAGAATGCTGCCCCAGTTCGTCCTCAAACCAAAGCCAAGGCTCATTCCAAGGCCAAGGCAAAGGGCAAGCCAGAAAAGGGCAAGCAGAGAGATCTTCTGAATCTACGGATGGCAGACCAAACATGAAGCGCGTCAGGTGCAAGTTCTTCTTCTCCGAGCATGGTGAATGCAAGAACGGAGACAGGTGCCCATTTAGTCACTCGAAGAAGACACCTGAGCGAGGACGAGGCAATACTCCTAGCCGGAGAAGAACACCTACCAATAGTCCATCGCCCGACAATAAGCAAAAGGTGTGTTTCAACTTCAAGAAGAACGGAAGTTGCAATCGCGACAATTGTCCATACGCTCATGTCAACCCTGCTGCACCAGCGGAGAGCGACAATAAGCCCGAGGCCAAAGCCAAGGCTAAGGCAAAGACGAAGCCTGAAGCCAAAGCTGAAGCTAAAGGGAAAGCGAAAGCAAAGGGCAAACCGCAGAATGCAGCTCCAGCGATCAGAATGCGCAGGGCATGGAATCCTCTTGCTCCGGCTGTGCGCAAGAAGGCATATGTCGAAGACGACGAAGAATCTGAGTGTTCATCTATCGATAGCGACATCGACTCCGATTGCTCCACAGACGATGAACGGGTTGGATCGACTTGGTCGGCCAAACCGAAAGGGAGCAGGCGAGTCTCATTCGCTGCAGATGTGACTTTTCAGTCATCACGACCGAGGAAATCGTGTAAAGAACGTGGTGAGGAAATAATCAAGGTCAGCACGAAGAAACTCATCGAGAGCGAGAACCGAGCGAATGGGCTTGGATTTGCAATGCACAAAGCTCGTTTGAAGGCGCAGCTGATGATCGATATGGTGTCAGACGACAAACCAGGTGATCGACAAACGTATGTCCGAGTTCCTGGGACAGACAGGGTCAAACAGATCATATTCTTCGACGGCGAGGATGAAATCGTGGAGATGAATGTCAATTCCAAGAAAAGCAAGGGATTGAAAGTCTTCGAGGAAGTCACATGTATGGTCCAACCTACATGGGTACGGTCCAAGATCAAGTTCCTCATGGACACTGGTTGTGGACATGACCTCATCTCTCAACGCAAAGTCGAGAAGCATGGTCATTCCAGACAGCAAACGGCATTACGGCCACGGACCTGATATCCAATTTTAGGACCAAATCGTTCGCAGAGACGATCAACGCCTATGTTCTTGACGATACACCATCAGTTCTTTCGGTGGGAAAGAGATGTATGCAACAAGGATATGGTTTTGTGTAGCCGCCCGGCAGAGATCCATTTATGATCAATCCGGATGGGAAGCGAATATCTCTCTTTGTTCACGGCGACATTCCTTACGTTCGTGCAGGAAGTCAGAAGTCCGGATCATGTGAAGATGAGATCGCAACCAGTATCAAGGCTATATTCGACAATATTGGTGAGGATGGAACGCTATCCGGCGTGACAGCAGATGCTGCCACTGCAACAGCGACACCAGGAGAGGATGCCGAGGGTCCACTTGAAGACGAACGTGAAGGACCTCCGGATGATGAGATATCAGCAGATGAAGCCCCTGATGAAGAAGTGCCGTTGGCAGAAACGGGAAGACCTCCAGAGAATGAAAGAGAGATCGAAGTTGAAGGTGAAGGAGCACCTACTCGCAAGGCGGAGTTCGGCACTCTGAAGGCGGAAGCCAAGACTCTCGCGCATCTTTGCGCTCATCGATACCGAAATCCGTACTGCGAAGCATGCATCAGAGCAAAGATGAAGCGCTACCGAACAGAACGTGGAGCCTTCAAAAGGGAATTGAAGTCATGGGGGGATTTGATCACCTTCGACTTCCTTGATATGCGCAAAGCCGCTGACATGGGCGTGGGCAGCGACGATGAAGATCGGGAGATTAGGGTCGTGAGCGGGGTGGCAACCAAGGTCATCGCCGCGATTCCCACGAAGAACCGGTACACAGAAGACGTCGTAGATGCCTTAAGGAGATTGATTGGAAGACGACGGAAGGTGAAACTTGCCTACAGCGATGCTGCTCCAGAGTTCGATGCAGCAATGGCACAACTCCGAATTCCCGTTGATCATTCTCTGCCTGGTCATCCCAAGAATAATTCTCTTGCAGAAAGGACCAACCAGGTGGTAATCAACACCGTGGCTACTGCATTGCTTCATGCGGGATTACCAGCCCAGTGTTGGCCTTTTGCCCTCAACTGGGTGACTCACAACCTCAACATCGAGGATGTGGAGGGAGATGGTGATTCAGCGTGGAAAAAAAGACAGGGGAAGATTTCAAAGGGAAAGCCATACCATTCGGTGCAAAAGTGTTCTTCAAGCCCGCAACTACAAGAAAAGATATGACGTACACAGGAAAGTTCGATCCAAAAGGAGTTCCAGGGATATTCGCAGGGTACGTGATCACTGCAGGGCAACAATGGTCGAGGAAGTATAGAGTCAGTTTGGGACATGGCCGAGTTCGCCAACGTGAACTTGTCCATGAATGCTGCAGTGCCAAGAAAGCTGGCCCAACCTTTCACGACGGAAGTGGTGGTCCTACCAGAGAAGCTCGAATTTCCATTGAAGAATGAGTATGAAAGGATGAACTCAACGCTTGAAGGGCTCAAGGACAACGCCGAGTTGAAAGGCAAGGAGATCAATGATCTTGATCCCGGAGATCATCCACCTGATGATGACAATGGTGATGACGACGATGATGACGATCAGCCGCCCAAACCTCCTCCTGATCCTGGTGAAATCGACGAAGGGATTGGAGTTGGAGATGTCCCAGTTGATGATTACGAGGCTCTTGATGCCATCGGTGACAAGCTTCTTGTAGAAGCAGCTGAACGAGGAGAACCACATGAAGTTTTACCGAAGTCGTCAGGATTAGCGAAGACTGGGGAACCACGGTCATTTGATGAAGTGGGACCTTCAGGAAGGCTTATTCCAAAGGAAGACGAGGAAGATCCAGGAGAAATCCTACGTCGCTTGCAGGGCGCAAAGCTAGTGGGAGATGATGTCGAACATTGGCACACAGGTGTCAAAGGGGACGGCAAGATCTACCTCAGCGACGACGGTGGGGCTTGCAAGATTGGCAAACGTGGAGTTATATACAAGGTTGGAATCGACGGTCGGCGTATCGTTCCCTCTCGGCGACCCAAACATCTGTATTCACCTGAGGGTGCCAAAGCCAGAGATAAAGCCTACAAGAAAGCGAAAAGAGAAAAGGCTAAGGCAGCCAAGAAGGAAAAGAAGAGAGCCGCCGTGGGCAAGAAGATTGTGAACAGAGTGCTGGATAAGATGATATTTCCCAAAATAGTTCAGTGCGACAAGATCGAGCTTGAATTGGGGGGATCGTGTACTGAAGGATGGGAATGGGCCGAAGAAACGGTCCAACAACATATCCAAGACGAATATCTTCAAGATGTCATTCCGGCAGTTCCCGCTTGCTCGGTGTTCAATGAAGATTGGATACCCTCCATGCCCTGTACTACGTCAATACCTCAACAGCAACACTGTGTCAAGAACCCAGAACAGAGATCGTGCTTCAATGCCATGGTTACGCGTCCCGTCACACGGAAGGAAATGGTCTCTAATCCCAAAGCCATGGAAGCATTTATGAAGGAATGGAAGGGATTGTGGGATCAGGAAGTCTTTGACTTCTCCCGGACCCGTGAGTATGACGATGTGATCAAGGAGGCCAAGAAGAAAGGAGTAGGGGTACACATGGCTCGCGTGCATGGACTCATCTATGAGAAGAACTATCAGTTGAAGGAAGATGATACTGCCAGGAAGTTTCAGGGCCGTGGTGTATTGCTTGGTGATCAGGTGAAAGACCGGAACATGGAGGCTGCGTTCTTTAAAGACCTTGGCAATTCACCGGCTACCTTCGATGCCTCAAGGTGGGCTGACTACTATGGTTGTCTACCAGGAAATGATGTACAAATGGCAGATGCCATTCAGGCATATATTCAGGCTCCGCTCACCGGCACTCCCTGCTGGGTCGAACTGCCCGAGGAAGCCTGGCATCCGTCAGCTAATCATCGCAAATTCCGTCGACCAGTTTGTAGACTGGTCAAGGCTCTTTACGGACACCCTGATGCGGGCACCATGTGGGAACAACACTGTCACACCGCAGTGCAAAAGGTTGGTTTCAAGCCTCTTGGGGACGAATGGCCTTCGCTGTATTTCCATCCAGAAAAGAAGCTGCTCTTGATGATCTATGTTGATGACTTAAAGATGGCTGGACCCAAAGATCAAATACCATCCGGATGGGCAATGCTGCAGCTTGCGGTAAACCACGTCACCCAGCAA